TATACATCAAAGTGTCACACTGTCATGAATTATTTTAATTAGTTTTCAATAAAATAATATTTATATTATTTAGGTAGGAATGAAGGATTGGTGTGAATATTAAATTTATTGATTTTGGTTTAAACATTTTATCACATGTTGTGTACTAATATCCAGTGTAATTGTGTTCTTTTTACAATCCAGATAATTAATTTCTCGAATAAAAAAATAAAAAAAGCCATCTCAATAAAAATATAAATAAAAATGCTAGGTGTTTATCACTTACTCCGTAAAATATCGCAACAGATTAAAAAGGTTTAATTATTTGTTAGGTTAGATCACGTTAAGTAACTTAGTAGTTTTAATATACTCATAAACCATAATACGTAGTTGTAAATATTATATTTATACATGCAAAATAGAGTTGAATGATTTTATGTACAAAATTATATGAAGCTGCATTAATGTTTTTTTCTTTAAAAAAAAAAAAAAAAACATCAGATATTTTGACTTTTATCACTATGTTAACGAATCATTAAAGATAAAATATGAGTATATACGTATGCTCACTGCATTAAGAAAATACTAAACATAGATGATTTTAATTATTTTGTAGCATTAAATAAATAAATTACTGCAATAAATAACGTAAAAATAACCTGAATAGTCATGAATTTATGGGGTTTTTTTTTGTTAATATTTAATACTTTTGATATTACCGTGTGCGAATCTTACTCTTAACTATTTAAAACTTTATGAAAGCTTTTGTTTAGTCTTCTTTCATATTTATTAACATTTTAATTAAATTAAAAAAAAAAAACTCAAACGATAATGATAGTACCTATTTTGTGAGTGTATAATATTATATTTGAATATTTTATTATTTTGAATTATGTACATGACATTTTGGAATAAAAGCTGTACAATTTTTACTTAAATCCACTTTTCCTTTTATATAGAAGGCCCGCAGACATTTTATAAGGGGTAGAGTCAACAAATTTTTAATTATACATATTTATACTCTTAATATTATGATTTTTTTTTTTTTACAATTGTAAATTCTTATGTATCAATAAACTAACATAGAAAAAAAAAAAACATAATTTCAAATTCACTTGAATCGTTTATTATTACTTTTAATTGTACTTATACGTTCTACTACTATATTCAATTTTTATAATGATTAAAATAAAATATAATTGTATTAATACCATAGTTTGATTTATTATCAAGGCAAGGTTAAGACAGTAGAAAATTAATTGGCAAGAAAAGCATTGCTCCTAGTCACGTATTTATATCATAAATTGTATTTATTATTTTAATAATATATACTTTACTAGACGTAAAACTTAATATATGAATTCAAAATTAAATTGTTTGTTAAGCAATGATACAATAAATGTATCATGTTCCGTTTATGTTGTCATTTTTCAATAAAGAGAGACAATGTTATTCAATATTTTTTTCATTGTTCAAGTTAATGTTAATTGTTTTTAAATATTTAATGAAAGTGTATTTATACTGAATACGGTTAATGACAATAGATCGTAAAATTATTTTTTTCTTCTAAGACGTGTTAAATTCAATAAGTCAAAGTCAATTAATTGTAGTTTACTAGGATACATTGCTATTTAAAAGATTGTCCAAAATGTCTATAAAACACAATTAGGTAAAAATTGTAACGTATTGTAATTTGATGTAGAAGTTAGATGAATGTAGATCAGTTGATTAAATGACGAGGTTAAAAATGTAATAATAATAGAAAAAAAATGTCTATGACAGACGACAGCGATATAAATATGGTGCGATAAAACAAATCAGCAAATTACATATTTTGAGTAGGTACCTACCTACTTATAATATGTTACTCTGGTAGAACCATATACGACATCGTCTAACTAAAAAAAGGTGTCACTGATAATATGCACAATCATATTTTATCCGTTGCTACACATTTTGTACTATAATTAATTTAATGTAACTTTAGTTGTACCAGACAGAAAATTTGACCAATTTTTATATACATTAGTTTACTAAAATTGAAATTTCTGTGTATTTTAGGTTCAAGCTTACGTGATCATAAAATATATTAATTCGAATAAAACTAGAATATGACAATTTATAATGTATTCATATCTTTACAGGATAATTATTAGTTTGTTATTGTATGACTCTGGATTAATGAATAAAATTTAACTCATATATTATAGTAATAGTCTTTACTTGTATTTGTGTCATTACAGTTCAATATAATATTATATTCTAGGAGATAAATTATGTAAAAAATTAATGAGTATAATTTAATTTAATTTAAAATTTTTTTAAAGAATACCAATATCGAATAGCAGTTTCTTTATTTAGTGTATTATGAACTACAGAAAAAATTCTTATTTACTTATAAATAGTTTGCGTTTTTAGCAATAGAATAAAATAAAATTATGGAAATAGTGATTATAATTTTTTTAAACATTATTTAATATTTATCTATATTAAAACTTAACAATTTAATATGGTATAAGCTGCTATTATTAGATTAAAATTAAATTGTTATGTATTATTTCGTAGTATTCATAGGTTTATACTTTTATAGCATTAATCAATACATTTTGTATTTTATTATGATTATTTTTTAATTCATTTTTATTTAAGACATAGACCATTAGTGCACAATAAGTATATATTTTGGTCTATTGATTTAATTTTAACAGGCATGATTGGCATGAATTAAGCATAGCCACTCATAAATGGTACTTAAATGTTGATGTGGAAACATTCAACAAAATTAATATAATTAGGTAACTTATGAACTTTTTTTTAATAAAAGTAAATTGAATTAATTATGTATTTACCCATAAAATATTTGAAAATAGTATACCTGTCTACACAATTTTTAAGCATAAGTTTTAAATAAATAAAAGGTAAAAGGCGTGACGTATCATATTTTACTTGACCGAATTTATTTGATAAATGACAATGCATTTGCATAATTAAATTTACTAACATTGAATACTAGGTGTCATACAATAATTCTGCGTAGTAATTCAAAAGCTGACAACCGTAAACATGTTGGTTGCTGGTACAAATGATAAAAAAAAAAAAAAAAAAAATAACTTAAAAGACAAAATTCATTACTTTTATTAACTTTTAATTATTATGTGTTTTGTACAATGACTTTTTTAGATAAATTAAACTATTAATAAAAGTGTTTAAATTACTTTATCATTAAAATTTAGAATTACTCAAAATATTATTTCTCAAGAAAAATTATACTATTTTTGTATATTTTGTTTAAAATTAAATTGTAAAACATCATTGACAAAGCACCAAGTTGATCGGTATTTTTCATATTCTTTACATGTTAAAATTAAAAACCACGATGAAATCGTATCATTAAAAACACAATTAATATACATATTTGAGGTATCTGTCAGTATGATTACAGCAGTAATAATACAGTCAATATTATTATTATTAATTTTAGAATTAATATTTATAGAATTGTGCAACGGACCATAATTGTTAGTATCTACAGTAAGTTATATTAATGTAATAGTGCAGCGTAAATACCAATTATATATGGTTATTATAAATTGTAATACACAGCAGGTCTAATCTATTTAATGATAAGTCCATATTTTTGATAACTATGAAGCTGGTATAAATTGAACGGTACGATAGTTAAATGAATAAATAATGAACCAATATTACACACAAAATAAGATCAAACAATTAATCAATATATTAATTAGTTAAAAAATATAGTCAACAATAGATAAGTCATTATTTGGAATAGCGCATCAGATATACATTAATGGGTACCCCGACAAAATATCACCGGTAAAATAATCGCAACAAAAATTATTATAGCATCTGATAAATCCAAATATACCAATTATTTAAAAGAACAAGACAGTTGGACTGAACGAATAAAGAAAGTAGTAGTAAATTATCATAATCGAGAGTTTGAAGATCATCTTCAAGGTATTTCATTTAATATAATATACTTCCATTAATTAATATACATATTTTATTATTTATTTTTAAAATTTTTTTTCCAATACTTATATCAATTTTATTAAATTATACATATTTTTATCAATTCTTCTATAATATATTTATATGACAATATTATGTGCTTTGAAATTTGAATTATATAAAATTACTTATAACTATTATAAAATATCAATCAATAATCAATATTATTTATTTCTTACTAAATTACAGTTATATATATATATATATATATATTTTGCGATACGTGTGCTGGCGATATTTATTCCATGCAATATATTGGTTTCGCGATATTTTGATCACGCGATATTTTACTGGCGATATTTTGTCGGTGATTCACATTAACGTCAACCATAGGCGCAACTAGAGTCAAAATTATCGAGGGCTTATAAAGGGATACCCTCAACAGAACACGAGTGCAAACTTGATTTTTCACATCCCTGCAAACACTTAGTTTTTAAAAAATAAAACTATAATGATCCCCAACACAAAGATAAAATAATAGGTAATATAAAAACCGCTCCGTAAAAACCATAATATTAACGTGTAATCAATCATTTTATTTGTATTTAATAAAATAATTTAACAGAAGCAATATAATAACTGTTGAGCGATGGTCTGCCGTTGAAAATTTATTTTAAACGTTCTTTCACCGTTAATAATTATTGTACTCGATATTATACATCTCTCATTTGGCAAATGCTGCGTACGTATGCCGAACTTGTTAACTTAGAACGCAGTAACCGTGTTTACATTGCCAAAAATAAGCTTTTAACGATTAGGTGCAACGTAATAAGCCATATCGTAATATCGTATCAAGCATTTAAAAAAATAATAACTATAAAAAAAAAAAAAAAAAATCTTGCGAACGGAGCAAAACGCACGTCGTCGGTAGGTGAGACGCGGGGAGGAGGGGAAACCAAGTCCCCTAGTTGCGCCGGCGACTCAACACATATATTATTATGTGTAGGTACACGTGTAGTACACGAACACTGTATTGTATTACTTACGTAGGTATGTTCACGAAGTGTGACTTAAGAGTTTGTGTGTGGACCGTAAGTAAATATTTTATCGTTACGTGCAGAGTAAACGCGCCACGCGTGCGAGATGTATTTGATTGCGACGCGAACTCGGACCGAGTGTTACGACGTCTGCGGGTGTGTGTGTGTGTGTGTGTTTGTTTTTTGTTTTTATTTTTTTTGTACACAACGCGATCGGACTCGGGGATTTGGATTTCGAAGACCGGCGTGCGATGAGGGTGTTTCAACGCGAATCGACGACGTGCGAGCGATCGGCTGGCCAGTCGTCGTCATACGAGACTGCGTGTGCAGACCAAATCGACCGGCACTCGTCGGCCAAATGCGATACGGAAACGTGCGGGGCGATCAATCCACCGCGGGCTCGGAAATCGCGTGTGTCGAGTCGCGTGTACGGATAGGCATAAATAAACAAAACAACGCGGCCAATACACGCGCGCACGCCTACTTACACACACACACACACACACACATACTTATACAGACACAAACGCATATACGTACACAGACACGCACGCACACACACACTCACACGCGCACTTAAACTACACGTGAACAACGGGAACGCATACGGATACGATAATACGTATTATACTGTATATATCTGTACAAACTTACGGGGAACCTTTGAGAATTTTTCGAAAAAATTCTTTTAACATGACATTGCACTGGTCGTCGCTCCGGTTAGTGACTCGATCGATGAGAGGTGGCGAATCAGAAACGACGATCCCGCCGAAACATAAGACTTCGGGGACACACGTAAAATAAGCAAAACAGACGGACGTGGTTAGGTACTGACAATGATTTTGTTTTGATGTTGTATTTTTTTCTTTCTTTTTTTCTTTTTTTTTTTTTTTGGGATTTATCGGGTCGAGTGGAAGTCGTTTTAATCGCAGTAATGCAGCTATACTGAGATGCACTAGTATGAGCACGTCATGATGCATCACATCATTATATTAGACTAGTTTGAGGCATAACAGCGGTTTTGCGTACCTAATAAACCTCACGCGTGAAAAAGTGCTGCTTTTTTTAGTTACCGTACGTCAGCGTTTTCATAAAGACTCGAAATATTTTATACAATAGGTATATGTGCGTTATAGATATAATTACCTATATATGTAATTATTTTTAATGAATTCAAATCCTAGTGTCAACACTCATTGAAAAATATTATTCATTCGTTGTTATATTAGTTTAAGGCTTATGAACATTTTAGGAGTCTGTTAGATCGTCGAAGATTCGGGGATTAAATAAGAATATTTCACCAAGTATGAGACGCTTTGCGTTTAATGTCTTAGCATGCTTTACTGTCAATCATCCGGTAATAATATGTTTAAGTCTTGAGTCTAAACATTATATTCAGCGTATGAAAATAATGAAAAACATAAATACATATTGGCATATTTTTTTTTTTTATCAATACGTGTGTGTGTTTTAAATTTTTAAAGTAAAAAACCAATATTAATTGTTGCTAATGGTAACGTTATAGTAACATAATATTATTTCAAATATTTTTTCTTCACATTAAATTATTGGGTATTTTTTTTTTAAACAGCTTGTTTATTATGGCTATTATAATATAAGAAATAAAAAAAAGTTATTGATTTAATAACACAACCATACAGACGATATAACAGTAGGTAGTATAGGTATATGATGAAATTTATGATTATTAACATTTGAAACCGTTTGATTTATTCACTATTATAATATAATTTAATAGTACGCGTATATCATCTCAGAAATTCTTATTTCTTTTTATAATGTTATTTATAAAAATCAACTATATTATGTAAAATTTAGTCGATTCCATGAAAATTTATTACTACAAAACGTTTATATTATATTATATTATTATCTGTTTGTTGTTGTTATATATCTAGATCGTTTAAAATAATTTTATGGAAGCATCCCATAAATTTAAAAGTTACAATTAGTGCAGGAAGCATTTCATTTGCTTTATTTACTATCATACTCAAATATTATATTATAACATACGCATTATTTGCGTTTTTTCGTTAATCCCACACTATTAAGCCTCACCAGTAATTCTGCAGTTTTGTGTCTATTAAATCAAGCGAATAAATTAATCTTATATTAACGTTTAACAGAAACTTTATATTCTAATTATAAGCTATAGTTTGATTATTTATGAATACCTATTTCAATACTATCAATAATTGTGAAAACTAGACTTCTCGATATAATCACTATTATACGATATAATGCTGAGTTTTTATTGCGTAAGAATCCACTAAAATTTATAATTGTAAAATTTTATAAAATTAAAATATTTATATTCATTTTATTAGAAGAATTTTTACAGTTTAAGTATCAAAAATTAATTCCCGTTTTTAGTGATTCACAATTTTTCTATTCAAATTAACTTTCATGCTACCTACGTATAAATCAATAAGTAGTCAAATTATATTTGTAGATTTCGTGCAATATACTTATTATACATTAATATTACAACGAAATATTTATTTTTCCAGGTTAAACGGGAAATCTTGAAAAGTTTTATGTGGCCCCATCTATCAATTGGAAAACGAGTCTAGTTGGAAAATTGGTGGGGCTTTTTTAATATTAAACACTGTTGTCTAATTTACTTCCTAATTATTTGAGTTTTTTTTTATACAATATTAAAGTATATGTTTTATAATTTCGTACACTATAAATTATAATTTTATTATTAGTAGACACTTTATTGTACCTATTCATTAAAATATTAAATTTACCATTATAATTATTTATCATATTTACTTATAATAAGATTATGAATAGTATAATATTGCTTGTACATGTCTTATGGATACATTTAGTAAATCAAAACTTTTTGATACGATTAAAAAAATTTTTAAGTAGTAAAATGTTGGTAAATATATATATGTAATATGTATACATTAAATGCATGAACGTTAAAAAACAATCATAATTTTTTTTTTTTTTAAAGAACCAATATTTCATTATATTATAGCTAGTTTACTTAAATATATCATATTAAAATATTATTTGGTAAAATACCCAGTACTTACGTCAATAACTATATTATTAAGTGTACGGAAATTTAATAAAGAATAGTTTTTAGAATGAAAAATATAATTGCTTTGATTAAAATGTTCATGTAAATATAAATATTAGTTTCAGTTGTTGCAATAATTTTCATAAATTCTAGACATTTTTTTTAGGTAAACAGTGTTCTGGCCGAATTAGACTACTGATTCGAATTCGTAACATTGCGTTTGAAAATTTTGTACAATGATTAACTAACTTGCAAAAAGCTGAGCAAAAAAAAAAAATAAAAAAATAGTAACTATTGTCTGATATCCAATCTTTGTTTACTGTTTTTTTTCATTTTATTTTTCATCAAGATTTTTACTCTCTCGACTACTCAAATAATTCTTTATTTTATATTCATTGAAGTAATCGATAATTCTATTATCTCACTAGAATTCCTATTTTTAGGCCTCAAGATTTTCTCATGACACTATTTGCTCATGCACGTTCATCTTAGGCAGACACTAATTATTGATGGTAAAGCATATTTTTGAAATAAAAAATGTAATAGGTCTTATTAAAATAATTCATACATCCGATTGAACCTAGATTTAGTCATTAAAAAAGAATATTATGTATTCATACAATGACTTTATCAATTGTATACAAGATAATAACTTCAGTTTATAATTTTCAATTTATTCGTGATATTAAATTTGGCTTAAAACTTTAAGTTTATAAAAGCTCAACATTGCTGATATTCACTATACAAAACTTTTATAATTTTAATTCGTCACGTTTTCACTTTACCTCTGTTTGATTAAGTTTTAATCATATTATAAATCGATTTTAGTTTATTTAAAAAAAAAAAAAAACAAAATTAAATTTATATAAACAACACAACATTATAATATTACAGAAAATTATTAAGTCAAATCGTAGTAAAATATTGCCTATTTTATAGATAATTTAAACAGATATTTATCAATTCTATACAATAGGTATATTAGTTTTATCTTATCTACTACGTCATAAATATATTAATAGTTTTATCTATAATCTAAAAATTTAGTTTTAAATTTTAAAATCAATTTTTTTTTCTGTTTTGCTTCATTGTACCATACACGTAGGTAAATAGAAAAATGTTTATTTAATTGATTCCGCAGGAGTGCGCCACGAATACTGTTGATAAAAATATAATTCGTTTAAAAGAATTTGAAAGGCACCATTTGTTAGGAGTACTGCAAGGGCAATATAATTAGATTTCTTGTATGTGGTAAGTGGTAGTGTGTCTGTAGAAAATTATCAACATATCTGTAAGACGTGTAAATGTGTAGATTAGACTATAAGAGGGGTTTAATCTTATTCTTGCGTATTTAGATATCAACAATTTTGTATATCAAGTATAAACGCGAATTATTTTACTCCTAAATTTTGGTGCACATTAGTTGGGTTCCAGATTCAAATGTTATACTGAGTAGTTTTATGTTAAATTTAATGTTATATTGTACTAGTTGAGTCTTGTATAAAAAATAATTTTATAAAAATTATTGAAGTGTTACTTTTTAAATAAATAATCTGTGAACTTTCTCAATTGTTTGTCATCTGATTGAATGTTTACACATTTTCAAATTTGTTCGGCAATAAGAAAGGAAGTCTAAAAAAGTATTTTAGGTAAATATATAACTTTGATTTTTTTCTTTTTCATTACTTAATCATAAATTTAGGAATGTATAGAACCTTTATATACATAATTTATATTTTAATAAGATAAAAAATTTTATGCGGAATTGATTCCAATACAATTTATCAATACCGATTGATCCGAATATTTGATGATACGATTTTTATATTGATATTTTAACATCTGTATATTTACTTGGATCATAAAAATAAATTTTTAAATTATTTTATTTTTTTAAAGAAGCATAATCCACTTTTGAATACACAAAAATGTATACCTACATATTTTTTTCATTTTTTAAGTAGAATTCTGGTATACATATCTATAAGAAAGAAAATTTATAAGAAAGTTATTAGTTTAGTAGGATTTAATCAAGAAAAAATAAGAAATCCTATTTTTTAAAATTTTTTTTTGAACCCATTTTACGTAATTAAGTTCAATAGTACATTGGATACAAAATAAATCTCTTCAATAGGAAAAACACTTTATTTCCAATTTTCTTAACTTATACAAACTAAAAGATAACCCGTTGTAAATTTTACTTAAGATTTTTTTTTAATATACAAACTATATTATAATTCAATTTTTAAATTGTCTTAGTGGTTTAAATATTGGATAATGATAGATAATT